TAAGCCGTACCTTTGTAGCAAAATGGAAATTCTATTTCAATTTTCTAATGAGAAAAAATCCGTTAATACTACTTTCTGGTGAATTGGCTTAGTTAGATCTGAGGTAACGGAGAGTGGATTCGGTGGGTAGAGCGTTGAACTTAAAAACTGATAAACCATTGAACGCGTGTTCAAACTTCAAGTGCGCCACAACCCGGATTCGAGGTGTAACCCATACTGACGAGTCGTTCACTGCAACTACAGGATCCAGCAATCACTGCGCATTTAGTAAGCATAATCACTTGAAGGCAGATGGCGTTTGACAGAGAGTCCACCGTTCTCTGTGAATAAGTTTGTTTTATTATCATCGTAGTGCCAATTAGCAGTGTATTTGTCATGCCAGCGTGTCGCATCTGGTCTTAGTGAAAGAGTACCGGTTCCCGTGTACTGATGATGCCAGTCAGAAAATCTTAGCCTTCTCCGTAAAAGTCATAGGTGAAGCCCCGCTGACTAGTCGGTAGATATTGACGGGATATTTATATTTACTGCCGCCAATGTAACACGCATGTTTGCCACCGCCGAACCCATGTCGTAAAGCTCTTTTAATCCTCACAGAGTTCTTACTGATTACGTTGCAGGAAGTTTAATTATTTCTTCCCCAGTCATGTCAGTAAGTCCATCGCCAGTAGTACAAGCCAAATGCCAGGGAGAAACCCAGTAAACATAATAAATGTAATCAAAGATATGGATGTAAGCAGCTTGTACGGACAAAATTGTACAGTCGACTAGCTAATCCAGCGGGGAATTTAGACTTAAAAGCCTCTTAGGAATTAAAGTTATTCGGTTCCATCATTAACACCTGTAGCAGTGAAATACACACACACGTCCTCTTCAGATAGAAACCGAAATGCAAAACTATGGCCAGTCGTGAACCGAAGTCAAAGCACACAAGGCAGGCCAAGCCACACAGGAACACAGTCTTTGTCGACGTCGACGAAACTGGGCTTGCCTTCTGGCTTCTAAATTTTGAAATGAAGCAGGTTAAGGTAACCGTGTATTGGTAGGTAATTTCGCCAAGCGACCATTCTCAGAGCTTTAACTGCAGATTATTGTCGCTTTCCTCCGCACAACTGCGGAAAAGCAAACTCCTCTCGAACATCTTCATTCATGTCTAAGTACGCAGTGGCTAGGGAAACAGAAGCAAGTACCCCTTGCGTAAAGCGTCGTCGTCTGATGCGTCACACGCAATACGATCCTGCTTACGATGATCGCCTATCTATGCCGACGCTGGCAAACTTCACTGTCCAATTGTTGTTTGAGTGAAGGGTGATGCTTCTATGTTTTCTTGTACACAGGTGCGGGTGGAAGGCTGTTGTGTATTCGCTAGTGCATCACAGGAACTCCTGTTCAAACTACTGAAGAACTGATAGTGTCGAAACAGTCAGGATACGCTGTACGGAAGAGCTAACATTGGCGGCACTCATCTGCTCCATCCCAATGTTGCGTGCTCGTCGCTCTACTTGGCTTTATGTAGGAACAAGCAGTGTTGGGACCGCGCCTTAAACGTTGCTAAAGCAATTTTTAAGGCAAAAGTTGAGTAACTTCAAAAAAACACAGGCAGCCAGTGTGGTATGCCATCCAATGGGGCCAACCTAACACTGATCTAAGATGGGCATTGGCTAGTGATTGAATAGACAGGGATGTCAAAGTCAGTTAGAATAACGGTGTTACAATGAGACATGTACAGCGCGTATGTTGGCAAATCTTTTCAAAAACTGACCAGTCTTGGTGCTTTACAATATATAGTTCGCTTTAGATTATGTATAGCATTCACACGGAGTGGGGTGAAATACCAAAATAAGGCAGTAAGCCATCTAGATTTTGCGAAGAAGACGTCTTCTTTCCAATTACTTCCTGGGACTCGCATGTTTGCTTGTATTGTCTAGATTTTCTTCCTGTTATACCAAGCTATTTGCCATCAAAGCCGCCCTGAACATTTTTAGGAGTTAGTCCTATACAATAAGTCAAATTAGACGCACAAACGCAATATAAACACGTTGTTCTTTTCGAAATACTTGGCTGGAGGTTCAGAGATTATCCTTCTGGCGAAGTCTTGTTTTCTTCGCCGTTACAGTGCGTCCAGATTTTGCGCAGACTTGGGTGCGTCAATACTCGCCAAGGTTCTCCTATTACTCATATTTCCACTACCTATAACCTACTTACATGTACTTGGTGTGTCTGTGACCTAGCCAGCCTCGATGGTGTTACGGAATGTACCTCTCCATACGGATATGGAAAACTGCTTATAACAAGTAGATCCTCTAAGTTAAAGAAACTTATTTATGGAGCTGCCTTCTACGATTTATTTCCGAGACTTGCGCCTTGTTTTAGACACCAGACTTTCATTCCGCCGCTGATTTCTGTGTTTTAGGTACGAAGACTTCAGAGGCCCTACGCTATAGTCAACGGCCAGACGAGTTGCAGAAAACGAAGATTATCTAATTTTCAACAAGCTCACTACCTCCAGGCTTTCAGCGATCGGCGTGATGTTTATTAATCTGGAAGAGCTCCGAAAATTTATGATTTTTCTCTTTAGACTGGCCTGGAATGTCAATTTAAAATTATTTTTCCAGACATACGAAAGTGCAATAATTCAAATTAGTTTTGCACTAACAAGACCTTAAGAGTTGGTGAAAGAAAGGCTTTTATATAATGTGCAAGTAAGCGGAAAAAACATTAAAAATATACAAATTTGTTTAAATCTGTTTTCCATTTTGACACAAAGGGGTATTTCTCGAGTGTTACACCTGCCTCTTCTTCCAAAGGACCAGAACCCGCTACTGTCCGTCCCTCATTTATAAGCGCCAACCTAACATTCAGTTCACCTGGCACCAGAGCTGTCCTTGATGTTAACTTCTGACTTGTTGTGGTGGCGGTGATGGTGGTTGGAATTTGACCGCGGTTCGACCAAAGTCTACCGGGGGTTCTTCGGCAGATCGCAGGCCTAGCCGAGAGTGGCGTTCGTGGACGAAAGACTTGTTCCATTGAGGACTCATTTTTTGTTGGTTTTCTGGGAGACCTTCTCTTTGTCGGGACGGAGATCCGTTTGGACGCATTCTGCTCAATGAGTTCCAGCGAACCACTTCCAGGTGAAGTCTCCGACGGAACATTTTCTTTCGCATGGAAGTCCCGAAAAACCCAACGGAGAGGTGTGGCGACTACAAAGTCGTTCAACAGACTTATCACCGGCGAAAGGCGGCTAGAGGGTGACGAATAGGCTGGGCCTGCTGTTGCACCGGGACTGAAATAAAACGCCAAAGATTTTATCACGAACTGAACAGAAATCAAACACCAATCAATACGAGACCACCAAAAATATGACAAGATGACGCTCGTCTAGCCGAGGTTAGTTGGGCCATAACCAGAACCTCACTCCACTTCTGGGTTACTATGGCAAACCCAGATAGCTGCGGTGTGGCAAACTCTAAATTCTCTCGCGTACAGATCGCGTCCGCAAAGACTGACTGGGTAACCAATGAGTAAGAGGCGCATGTAACCTGAGCCATGGGGTGGAGTAGCTTTACATTCTAGAATGGTAACTGTTAGGTCGTTGGATGTTTTAAGTCCACTCTGTCTGAAATGCAGGTCAGACCACTTGGGGTTTGAGTCTGAAGTGGTGGTAGAAAAGAACGGCTAACAAATTGAGGCGAATGTTCGCATTTTGGGTGTGTGTATAGGTAAGGAAGGAGAAGGCACGTCTGTCGCCGGAATTGTGGTTTTGTTTGCCTTAGCTTTCGACGCATGTATGGTTTTCGCATACACGAAAATAAGCTGGCTGTAAGACGGGGTGACGGATTATCGCAAGTGATTGCCTGTACCTACGAGACGGGTCACGACTTTAACTTCGCAGCCGCGAAGATAATCGCCCACGCCAGCAGCAAGACAGGCCGAGGATTTATTGAAGCTTGCGTCTCGGGTGAGAACACAGTCAATCGATCTGGCGCCGGCATACATAGCCCTACGCAGGCACCCGGTGGTTGATTGGTTCCTGTCCCCTATAGTTATTGCTTATTTTTTCGTTGAAGCTTTGGTCTCTGACGATGCACTGCAGTAAGCGTTTGAAAGCTCGGACGAATAAAATCATAATTACAGTGAGTAACGTGTTTCTTTCTTCTTTACCCAAAAAACGACAGGACCGGCATACGCATGCGGCCTTTTGTTGGGAGTCCCGAGCCGAAAAATTGAGTTCTGTGGAGTGGGTCAGTTAGAAATGAAATAGGTGCCTCTACCTGCAATCACTGGTGCAGCTTGAGGAGGAACTGTCTTCGAGACTGTCCGCAAGGACATGAATTGGGTTGCGGTCTTCCCGGTAGACGGTCCAGTGGTCCATGGAGTCGCCGTCAATGCCATCTGGTTGGGATGACGTGCTCGGAATACTCCTCTTTATTGGCGTACTGGAAGTTTGTACAGCAACTGCTGTAGCTTCTTGCTCCGGAGTCTCGCACGAGTCCTGAGTGGTGGTGGTCGTCGTCGGCCCATGATCGTCAAAGAGTGTACGGTTAAGCGACACCGAGTTTGCTACAGGCATGGCGCGCTGTGGATTGTCATTTTGGTAGAACGGTGCCAAATAGGCATCCAGGGCGGCGAGACCGTAGTCTGTACGCAGATCAGCAAAGTCGTCGAGGAAGCTCCAGTATTCGGTCCAAGTCGTCTTTAGTTTTGAGGACAGGAATCTAAAGTAGAAAAACAAAAGACTCAAGTCTAGGAAAAAAAACTGTCCAGTCAGTTTCCATGTTGGGTCTACCCTGAACAAAACGGACACGCACGCCCAAGTATGATGCCTGCGTCTGAGACCGTGTGGTCGGCCCCTTTGACAAGGCTCTCTACCAATGAGAAAACGGGCTTAGGTTGGCCATGCTAGTCGACCGTCCACCAGGATGAGTGCCTGAAAACTGCTCCCTCAAAATACATTAATTGGCGGGAGAGTACCCAGACGTTAACTCCTAAAAAATAAATGTTTAGTTTGTGATGCTTTAAAATCAAAACCCCTTTCAAATATTGGTTTTCAAACGCACAAAGTGGGAGAAATTAGTGTGGGGCAGTAAGCCGATCCCGTTCAGGACGGAGGGTCCAGGTCGTGTGTGGTATGCGCAGAGGGGCTGCTTGGTTTTGTTCACTGAGGGAGGAGAGATTACGATAGATGCTACACAAGCCTACCTCACTTTGACGGCTACATTCAAGGCATTGGCCAAGCCGCACCTCACTTATGCGGCACCAATCTGGTCTCCTACGATGA